TCGTGCTTTCAAGGGAAATGCTTGAAATGCTTTCAAGTCAACTGCTGTGCATCAGGGTTATAGAAATCTGTGGAGCAATTTTTACTGCTGAAACATATGAACTTCAGCCTAGCCGAATTTCGAGTTCAGTAAGACTGTTCATTGGATGTGTGGTCCTTATGTCAAGGTTGAACTGTTACGAGTTGTGCAGCTTGCTTTTTGAATTGTGATTTTGTGCTGTGTTAAACTGTTGTTTTGACATTTTTGCTCTTGAATCATGCTATCTTGTTTCTCCTTACTGTCCATTCATATTTGATATCTGTTGAGTCTTGTATGTCGCAAAGATTGTTCACTGTGTGTGGGCTTACTTATTTTTTTGTTTGGTCTTTTTTGTTTGTTCTGGGCATTGTGCTTTTGTGCTTCTGGTGGTGGTTTCTGTTACCTGTTTGCTTGTCTGCTTATGTTATTCTTTTTGTTTGGTTCCCCTGACGGTGAAGGGTGTTTCTCTTCACTTTTCAATCCTCAATCCACTCTCGGCTGTAAGTAGATTTCATTGTCAGCTACTGAAGAGATATATGTTAGTTGCTGTTGTGAGGGGTTTGGGAAAGTGCATGATGAGTCCAGGGCATGGAAGTTTTTAAGAAGTATCTGAACGGTGGGCTTGCTTTGTGTGTTCCTGTTTAGCAGTTAAAGAAATAAATTTCATTTGCCTCTGTGAATGTGAAGGAATGTAAGCATTTGAACCTATAACTAATGCAAGTTATCCTCGGCATTTTTTATGATGGGTACTTGATAAGCGCATCCATCTTTACTAGTGCAAAAATAAATTCTAATTTCTGCTAAGACAAAGCAAAATCCCAGCTGTCCTCGTAGTAAACTTAAAGGACGTTCTTTTATTGCATATTTGTCCTATTTTTGTGGCTGTTTACTGTGATGGCTTGAGATTCTTCAAGCTCTGGAACATAGGTCGACTTCCCCCCCCCCCCTGTAACTTCAAATCTACAAAAAAAAAATTATAAAATTTGCAAATTGAAGTATTTTTTAAAATGAAGTATTTTATTGGTTGCTGCAGGTTGTGACGCGCTGCTTTTGCCCCCTCCAGTAGCGGACACTTATCTCCAATGCACCGAATTCCCTTTGTGCCACCAGGTTGCCGTGCGCTTCAGCATACTACATAACTTTTTTCTTAAAGCCTATCATAAACTGCCGTCGACTACCACACCATTCTCGAGGAAATAGAAAAAGAAAACAGCAAACTGACAAAGATAACTGAAGCGAAATGGCCTTGCTGGTACAGTGTAATGTTGACCTTGCCTAGCCTTGCCCAACGGCGCCACTGTTGATGCTCATGATGGCAGTGGAGGCTCTTGATTTCAGCTGCCCATTGTTGCGAGACTTCTACATTTTTTTATCTGCCAATGACTGGTATATAAAATGAGGTTCGACTTCTCATCGCATTAAAAAAAGTTCGACCGATATTCCGGTTTTTGCGGTAGTACAATCAGGAGGGCATGACATGCCTGAAGAATGCCGAAGCATCTGAACATAATGGCTTATAGGTTCTCACTCATGCGTTTATTCTTAATTAGGTATGCTCGTGCGGGATAGTCTTGGTAGGTCTCAAGAAATGCGTAAAAGTTGAACATTATTGCTCAAAACTTTCCTTAGAATTTTTAATGTAGGATCATTTACAGAACTGTATGTTGCGATAGGTGCAGCATTGTTGTGAAACTGTTACATCTTCTCCTAGCAGCTCAGTTAGAAAAGACACCCTTTTCTACCTATAATTGCTCAATACTAAAAAAAATTCTTAAAATATTTGTATGCAATACCATTTAAAAAAATTTCTTATGAAAAATTTTTTTTTAATTCATAAGAATTATTACTCTGAACCTTTGTGCCACATTGAAGCTTTGGAAGCAACAGACTTCTGTTTATAAGGAACAAAGAAAAAGAATATCACTAATTGCATAGAAGGCAGCATTTTTAGTAAAACAGTAGCCATCAAATTTGGTAACCATAGTAAACATTTGTTGAAGACAAATGTGTCAGTGGGGATATTAGCATATCTGATCCGAATGAAGGTGCAGTGCAACCACAACCAGATATAGAAGAGAGTAAGACTGCTCATCATAATTCACTGCTTTTTTAAATAGACATATGCAAATTCCCTTCTTTTGTGAAGCTGTACTTTTTGCTCCAACCTTTGCTCTTCAATGCAGGTTGTCTAGGTGATATCGATGATATCTTGCATGTGTGTTTTGTATATTCAGTTAAGGGTACTGACACAAAATTTTGCTGGCTAGATAGCTGTGGGATCGATTCCCGTGAACAAGCGTATATCATCTGCAAAATATCAACAGTGATTATAGCTTGGAAGGTATTTTAAATTAATTTTGAAGTTTTTGTGTGTAATCGAGCCTTGTGGTATTGACACCTTGAGACTTTAGGGGCCTCCTCCTTCCCTCACGTCACCGCGCTGCTGTCAGTATAAGTTATGAAGACGTTGTAACCGTCTTTGATTTTTTTTTTTGCTTCAGCTAACTACTTTTTGGCAGCTGCTCGCGAGTCCGTGGCCGCAGCGGCGCAGGCGTTGGAAAGTTTTCTGTTTGGCATTACTTTCTTCCCATTTCCTGTTGGAAGAGACATGTTGATGCAGACTGTGCTGAAGGACGTCACAGTTCTATGTGCTGACATTGTTTAGCGTTGCTCTGGCTAGGTAGTGATAGTTACACAGGGCGGCTTGTCGTTTTTGAGCTCTCTCAAACCAAAACTGGTCTTTATTGTAATTATCTATCGTGCCCTGTAGCAAGCGATGTTTCATACCGTAACCAACAGGTCCTCAGCAACACATTGCACTAAAAAAAAAATATGCGAGGCTTGGTTGGTTATACACTGTTTTACTAAAGTGTAAGCTTCACAAATAGTAAACTGGTTAAAATGTATAACTCCTCACTTTGGTAGTTTGCATTTCATTTAAAGGGACCCTGCAACACATCTCCTAGTACCGTATTTACTCGATTCTACCGCGCCCTCGATTGTAACGCGCACCCGATTTCCACCGCGAAAAAAAACAACGTAAGACATCAATTGCGACGCGCACCCATTTTTCTCGCTGGCCCGCAGGATCACACCACTCGAAAAAATGACTCCTTTCGGGAGTCTCTTTCATTTAAATATGAGGTACGGGCGAAGATTGTGCCCATCTGACGTGTAACAGAGCATTGCCGTCACTGTAGTTTTACCGTGGACCGATGTCAGCACGCGAACTTGCTTCGCCCCGTTCTTCTCAACGGTTGTGGTGCCAGGCATGTCGAAGTAAAGAGGCGTCTGATCGGCATTCCCGGTTTGCCCAAGCAGGTAGCCGCTGTTGCGCCACAGGTTTAGGACGAACCTCTGAAAACTGTGAAGCTTTTCATCATACTCCTCCGCAAAACTTTTCGCATATGCATGTTCCCCTTCGGAGGGTAAAGCTTTTCCTTTTCGTAAAGTTAGTTAGCCAGCACCTGCTCGCTTTAAACTGGCTCCGCATTAGACCTTTTCCTAAGACTAATTGCATAGCCCGCACTTCGAGCAGTTCTGTCGTCACGGGCCGCTGTGCCGCTTGCTGCTCAAGCACATACTCGCCGAGCAGCTCTTTAATTTGCGGAAACCGACCCTGCTGTGGTCCACTGAAGCCTTTGCGTGAAGCTTTGCTGTCGACAATCTTCTGCTTTTGTTTCCGCCGGTCCCGCACGCACGTTTCGGGAACTCCGAACGACCGCGATGTGGCCCGATTTCCGTCCGTTTCTGCACACGCGATGACTTTTCTTTTAAAAGCGGCATCGTGGTGCACTCGAGTTTTTGGAGTCAGCCCTTCCACGCCGTCGGTGCTAGTGCACTACTAGATGACGAACTCCTCAGCACACGTACGAAGTGCCGCACATGGGAATCACATAGGCAGAAATGGCCGACGCGCCATGCCGACGCACGTAGGGGGCGGCCATTTTGGATTTGCCGATGGCAATAGATTGACCATAATTTTTTTGTTCGTACTCAATTCTAACGCGCATGCGATTTATGAACTCGCTTAACCGGAAAAAAGGTGCGCGTTAGATTCGAGTAATTACGGTAATCATCTAATGGTTTCATGCAAGGAGCTTATCGCCTCACGAATTTACTGCCACAAAAAAGTTTTATAATCTCTGACGTACGAGCGGAGATGGAGATTTGTTGCATTCTTCAGGCATTTTTTTTTTTTTTTGTACGAGCGAGCACGCTGAAAGTTATGCAAACAGGGGGATGACAAGAGGCTAGAAGATGCCTCCAGTCTTCAGCACTCAACTTACTTTCATTGGGATCAGGCGTGTGGGCACTTGTTGGCATTCTGTGGTGGCCGTAGAACTATGTAGCTCATAGTGATTTGGGTGTATGGTATCATCTGTCAAGAGGGAACGATTTCTAAGCAGACCTCAAGAAAAAATTGTACGTTCCATGTGGCAGGCTCTAATTTTAGCTCGTGTGTTCTCAGAAGCCTTAATTAACAATCGGCACCACTTTCTGACCATGCTAAGAGTGCTGCAGGGCTCCTTTAGAAGTGCTTGGGCAAACCCAGCACAAGGCTCTATGAAAGTCAGCATGACAGGCCCCAAATGAAAAACCTTATAAAAAAAAATGTCTTGAGAATAGGTATTTCAAACAATAAATAATAAAAACTGTACATCATGATTCTTTTTTTCAAGGCATAAGGAATTTTCATTTGTTACTCTGCCAAAATAAATGAACAGTTTCAGATATTTTTTCAGAAAAATGGCTACACTATTTCTTGGTGAGAAGACCACTACAACAAGAAGTCATGCCATCCTCCACAGCATTGCATGCTATGATGAAACGGAGCATCTGAGCTCTGATTTTGCAATTCGATGCAGTAGATTAATGCAGTTAACTCTACCGAATATATTGTGTGCATGCTTGTTTGCTCGTAGTACTTTATTACTTTCCAAGTAGCTTATTATTACATAGATTTTGGGGCTTTGAAACAGGCTGTAGCACCACCATCGCCACCAGTCCCACTAGCACCACCAGTCCCACCAGCACCACCAAAGGAGAAAGGCCCCATTCCTAAGGAGCACCAGATCCTGCAAGAAGTTTTTGAGAGACTGCGGGTGAACTGTTATGATGCTACTCTTAATCCTGTAAGTACTAGATGTTGATTGTACTAATGGGTCTCCGGTTTTGCAAGGCGTTTTTGAGGGACTGCAGGCAAACTGTGCTGATGCTACCATTAATCCTGCAAATACTAGGTGTTGATAGTTCAGTAAAATCTCGTTAATTCGAAGTCACTGGGACCACGAGAAATCTTTAAATTAAGTGGGTTTTTTTTAATTAACAGACCATATAAAATGTGGAATCCAAGGAACTTGAAATTATTCAATTCAATCAGGGCTGGGCATTTGCTGTGCCGGCAAGTTCGTGGCTATAAGGGTCATGTTTTTCAGCAATACCTGGTCACAGTTTTGCCGCAAACAAGGGGGAACTCCGGGCATAACTGCTGTGACCGCAAAAAAAAAAAAAAAATGACCAATTGAAATTCGCGCTTGCAAAAAACAAGACATCTTCACTGCAACACAGTAGTGACACGCGGGCAGCATGTCGCCTGCTCCTCGCTGCGTCAGCACGTCATGATGCGACTATTCGCCCATTTTTTCTCGCAAAATAAAGAATTTATTAATGAACAGTGTGACGAAATTCGCAATCAGTTTTGGCTGGAAAACATCTCTGTTGAAGCTCTCGACCCGAGTTACAGGCCAGAACTCCGCCAGCTGGGCAAGTGCGAGAATTGCTTGAGCAACCGGCACTCGTACATTCCGATAGATCGCAGATTTCTTCAGACTGACCTTTATTAATTTCTTTATATTTCCAGGAAGGATGGATAAATCGTGACGCGCTGACGTTGCGAGAAGCATGCAATATGCTGCCCGCACGTCATTGGTGTATTGCAGTGAAACATGTCTTCTTTTCCACATGTGCATATTTTAGTTTATCACGAGAACGTTATTTTTTATATAATTTTATTTTTCCTGCTGGAAGTAGGGAGGCAGGGGTGCTTCAGCTACCACTCATTAGTATCGCTAAAGTACATTGCCTAGTGGCTCTTAAGGTCCGTCGTTTCCGCGGATTTACGGCGAAATCGAGAATGGGCACCCTGCACCCAAAGTTTTCGAATTAACCAGACTTGTGCTGACCACCGCTTCAAATTATCCACTCAAACTTGCATTGCAAGATACGGGACCATGGAAGTACTTCGAATTAAGTGGGATTTTAAAATAACAGAGTTTGAATTAACGAGGTTTTACTGTACTTATGGACCTCCTCAAGAATATTAAGTTCAGTGGAACTCAGGGCCGGTCACACTTGTATAAATGTTGCATGCTGGCCACTTTACCAAGGATAAAGAGATGCTATTCTGAAAGATCGAATGCAGAATTAACAGTTCAATGCAGGGGGCCGTGCCACTTTCAAATGTTGGAAGCCTGTCAGGTTGGGATTTCTAAGGCTATTTAACTGCTAATTTGAGGAAAGTATTGGTGCATTTGATAAAAAATAATGAGAACTTCTACAATATTCAATATTTGATTTCTATTTGGCATTGTACATATATTCGCTTTGCATTTATTCGCTCTCAGAGGTCATTCACTCACCCCTACATTCTGTGCAGAAGAATTAGTGGATCATTTCAATGCTGTTGCATATATCTTTCATAGCAGCAAGCACTCTTCTCACTTTTATCTAGTGTATCCCAACAATCATTTAGTGTAGTGAGTGGCATCAAGGGATGAGATTTTTAAAAATTTTCTCCGAATTTGTATTTTCGTTTTTGCAAGAGGATGTGTGCGGTAGAACTGGTGCTTTGACTACATGACTGTCACATAATAAAAGTAGCATTATCTTCAATTAGCCTTGCTGTGATCAATAAAAAGCCCTTATCCTAATGTATGCCACTGCAGGACCTGATGCTCGAGGAAAAATTGCATATGTCTGTTTTCACTCAGTAGTTGATGTATGTAGTATGTATACATGTACGAACACCAATACGTATAATTGTCTTAGAACATGGGTTGAAAACCACACATAAGTGCCGTGTGTGTAAATGAAACAAAAAGAAAGCTAATAAGTGCAACAAAATACCATGCTTTCTTCATTTATTTATTTTGACTAGTAAAGGCAGCAGGTAATGATAATGTTGCCCTCAATTTAAAAAAAATGACCAGAACTATCCATATACGTTGTAATAGTTGAAGGGTGTGCTTTAAAATAACAGAGAGCTGAGCTAGTTTGTATGTATTTATTTTGAAAAGACAGCATCATCTTATATTTTCTTGTCTTTCCACTGCCGGACTTCAAATGAAGTTTATTCATTCATTCATTTTCAACAAGTCAGTGAAGTCAATTGCCAATTCATTTGAAATCATATGTTCTATAACACTAGGGGCTTCCAGGTGGACACAATTGGATAAATGATTTATTAGGACTTTTGTCACCCCGAAAGCTTCGCCTGGTACTCTGCTGCTGTGGCTAAGGTACTCGGCTGCTGACCCGCAGGTTGCGGGATTGAATCTCGGCTGCGGCAGCTGCATTTCCGGTGGAGGCGGAAATGCTGTAGGCCCGTGGACTCAGATTTGAATGCTCGTTAAAGAACCCCAGATGGTCAAAATTTCCGGAGCCCTCCACTACGGCGTCTCATAATCATATGTTGGTTGTGGGACGTTAAACCCCACATATCAATCCCCGTAAAGCTTCATAAATCATTTGGGTAGAGGTGAACTGTGGTGCAATCTTGTACGCGTTCCAAATTTGGACGGAGGCGCTCAGTAGTTGCATCAAAAAGTGGGCAGTCCACATCGGAAGTGAACAGCCAATGAGGAAAAGGGAGGCCTGCGTCACAATGTTGACGTCGGCTTGGCGACTGTATAGCAGGTTGAGAAGTGTTTCTAACATGTTGAGGAATGTTTAACTATTATTTCTCGCTACTAAAATGTGTTGGCACTGATTTTCAAACATTGAATATGGAATGCGACACAATATAAATGTATCTTTCCCGTTATTGTTTTGAAATGACGCTAGGTGGCGCCGCCATTCAACGGGTTGTTTAGTGGTGGTGTTATACACAACCACATTTAAAGAAATTGCTCTACTCATGTCTCCACCACTACTTAAATTCAAACAGTGCAACTTTTGAAGCCGTTGGCTCAGTCGAGCGAAATAATCGCGAGGGGCACCTCAACCGGTAGCCAAAAGAGCGTCTCTTCCACATTTTCGAGGCTCAGTGCACGATGGTGTTCGCCTTCATGAAGGAGCATCCCCATCTCACAGGGAAAGCCATTGATCTAAAGCACAGCTTCACCATCACCGACCGGCGGCGGCTGTGACAGACGCTAAGTGATGCGCTTAACCATAAAGGGCCTGCCCAGAAAAAAAAATCGTAGCATATTCACGGAGTGAATGTTGATGAGTGGGGCAAAGCTTGAAAGGGTTTCATCGGTAAACTGGGAATCCTACGTTCAGCTGTCTGTCTGTCCGTCTGTGTTGGCCTGTCTGTCTGTCCATTTGCCTGTCTCTATTCGACAATGAACATAGACAGATGGGGTGGCTACGACAACGGAGGAGGAACTGAGCCACAGCGTAAAGGCACGAGGCCCACTGCGACGCCGCTGCTGTCGAAGTGGAATGATCTAAGTGATATGACATCTGTGTGTATATCAGGCCACTGGCTTGCTGGCAACCAATGATAGGGTCAAATTCGTTGCACAATATGCGCACTGTTCTTTCTGACACAGGATAACGTCGGAACACTCTTTCAGTCAACTATTCAAATGCACTATTTACATTGCTTTGTTGTCTCTGCTCGACTGCAGAAGCCGCACAGGGGAGACGAAAAACTGTGGCAGAGAAAGATAATGCCAGGTTCTCAAAGTGCCCAGATACTGAAAAGTTGCAAAGCGCTTACATTTCAATCCGATCCATGCTGCTTTGCAGCCATTTCAATCCATTTGTTTCGTTTCGGATGGTCTCTCTGACCGTTCCTTCACCTCCGTCCGAAAAACGGACGAAAACAGACGCGTGACACCTTGGCTCACATGACATAGGACGTCATGGCATTCATCACGGCTCAAATGGGCCAATTGCGTGCGAGTCGATGGAACATCTCCGTTCGAATTTGGAATGCGTACAAAATTGCACCACTGCTAGATGTTCGTGTACTGTGCAGCACTACTGGTGCGAGTACGGACGTCACTTATTACTGCAGCTGAGCCAAATAAGAAAGGCGTCTAGCTGTGGTTGCTGGAAAACATCCCCAGAAGGTCACGAATGCCCCTGCCACAGGACGACCTAATAGAACCGAAGTATGATGGCAGCCAAAATTTTTGCTTCCTGAACATTTTTCACGCACATCATTCCAGCTATGACAGATATAGAGAGCAGACTTGTCTTTTAAAAGTGTGGCCATCCTAATAAGTTTAACAATTATAATCTTAACAAATTTTAGTTTTATTTACAGTATTGCTATTAGAGCACTTACGATTTGCTGCTGATTGAGACTATAGTTGTCCAATGTGCTTATCATGTATAATAGGACTTTATAAAGGTAATGTAAACAGTAGCTAAAGAGGAACGATGACTTGGTTTAGATTGACAAACTGCACTCTGAGAACTCTAATGCCATTTGGTTCACTATCATAAGTTCATTATTAGCAGATAAAATAAAGGTTGAAGTTTCGTTTTTAAATTTCGCACCAAGAGCTTCGTGCGTGACTAAAATTTCAAAATGTATTTTTTGTATTTTTCTGGCATTGGCTCGATGAAATTTTCTGAAACTTGATATGCTATGTCTAAAGCACCCACAGATTGCTATGTACTTCATTTTTAGGAATTAAAATTAGTAGGACACCAAAAATTTTTACGACGCGGTGTTTGGTGCAGGAATCTCAAGGTGGCATTGCCACCCGCATATTTTTCTCGCATGTTTTCTCTGTTACCAAATGTCGTGCTGCAGTAAAAGTGATGCTTTCTGGATTGTGAAATTATACTTTACTACTATGCAGAAAATTGTTTTGCTTTTTAGTGTCTCTTTAATTAAGCAATGTAAGAGCATTGAAACACTGAAGTGTCTCTCTTTTTTTTGACCAGCAAACGAGGCGGAAGCTGGATGATGTTGCACGTAAGCTTGAGAACCTTTACGACAGGTTACGAGAAGATGCGGTAAGTTGGACTAAAAACTGGCTTCTTCCTAAAGATCACTTCCGTATGCTTCCAGACCTCGAGAATTAGCTGTGTCTCTGACTTGTTTCTTTTCTATGCCTCACAGTACTTTGAAACAGATGAGTTTTTGTGTTGTGGGAGAGAGAAATGTTTTATGCATCATTTTGAGATCGATTTTTTTTTTTTTTGAAGCAAGCAAAACAGCCGCAGTGTAGTACTGGTGCTTATGTTTCCATTTTCTTCTAATGAGGCATCAGTGCAGCTTTTCGATTCTCATTGCAGTGTTTTCTTGAAAAAAATGTTATATTCACCTAGTTATATTCACAGAAGTTTTACTGTTTTGCTCTGGAAGTAGGAGTGGAAGGTGTAGCTGTGTTATTCACATTAGAGTTTATGTACACAATCAAACCATTATATAATGAAGTCATACTTGCAGCGAAGAAGTTCTGTACATTTAGAATATTGTTATGTCAAGGCCCTTATGTTCAACAGTAGAAATAACTTCAAAGGTTCTATAATAGTCCTGCATTTCATGAGTAGGCAGTAGAAGTGCAGCAGCCAAAGAAGAGAGTACAGTAGCATGACTGCTCACTATGAGAACTGAGACAAAACAGTGCTGAAGAAAGGAACCAAACGCTGAACTTGTTCACACCGCAGTTTATTGGCTAATTCGGCAGTCTTAACATGGTGGATGAGTACGTCTGGCGCATGCAGGAGTGTCCAGTGCTGTGCCACTTGTCCAATGGACGACAGACATAGGTGCACCCACAGCAGTGCGATGTGGTGGAGCTTTCATACAATTAAAGTGTGAAGCAAATAGGTTTGAGCTAAGTTTGGAGTGTACTGATCTTGCAAGAGCCGATAATGAATTGGGCAAATGTCTCGTCAGATTTGTTGTTGCGGGACTCCAGTTCAGCAACATTGAGGTGCCGAGAAATGCAAGATGCATGGAATTCTACAGGTATTCACCGGGGACTGCAAAATATTTCACTGTCATGAGAACTTTATTATTCTGGGTTTCATCGGTAGTGACAGATCTGTACTGGGGAAGTGCTACATTATTAGGCTAATACCAGAATGTGCATCTGTAGGTGCTAATTGAATTTAAAATTTTTTTCAAACTAGAGTGACATATAAACAAAAATAAGTAAGCATATGCAATACCTAATATTTGGAATAATAAAGCATTTGTTTACATTTGAAACGTAATCTGTTAGTGCAGCCCAAGTCATTTGCCTTTAGTATCCCCTTAAATATGTATTTGCTCTATAAGATGATGCCCCAGCTGTGGCATCGCATGGTCTACAGTATTATCATGTGAACATGCCAAAGGATGCACTGATTTTTAAAAGACTTTGTTTCTTTAGCTGCATCTCTAAACATTGTGGGGTACAGGGATGAAACAAGACCACCAGTGCTTAGCATTCAAGTTGATGTGTACATTGAAAAAATACAGCTGTTCCACTCTTGCATATGCAGCTCGCACCAGCAACGATAACCTATCTTCATGAGATCGTACGGGCTCTACAGGAGAACAACTATGACAAGGCACTGGGCCTGCACAGCCAGCTTGTCGCCATCTCCAGCTTCTCCGAGACAAGCAGTTTCATGCCTGCACTGAAGACCCTGCTCCAAATCTCCAAACAGCTAGGTGTGTTTGTGCAATAGCCCCACACTGTTGTTCCTGCTTAAGTCTTCTGCACCTATGATGCCTTGTCCCGCCGCGACACTTTTTTTCCCATTTTCTTTCGCCTTTTTACTAGAAACCAAAACAGCACTTTCTTTCACTTTTAATAAAGAATGTTGGGTTTAAAAAACTGTAGTACCACTTATTGTGTGAACCCTCAAAATGAAAAGCGCAACAATCATGCCTATATGTTTTTACAACAATTTTCTGTAATTTTTTTTCAAGGGCTGATTTTATTTTTGTAGTTGATTTTATGAAGCTGTTTTTACACAGAGTCTCGCTTGTGAATGGTGTAAGTTGTTTATGACCCACATTCTGGTCTGCTTGTGGGAGTGTATCAGGAACAAGAGAGTGTGACTGTGCTGGGGTAGTCGTGTCATAAGCGTGACTTGTTTTCCGAGTTGGGTGCCTGCGCTTTGTCGATTTCTTGTGATTCAGTGTAGAGCCTATTTTTCACAATGTGCTACACACAAACACAAACACTAGTACTCAATGTTTCTTAACATACCATATTTAATTGCATAATTTGAGCACTTTTCTTTTTTCGCGATCATAAACTTCGAGAAGGGTGTGCGGAGATTTCGTGAACACATATGAAATGATGTGCAATAGTCCTAGCAGGTGTAGTATATATGTTTAAAAAAATGAATTGGACTGGAAACGAAGTGCACTTTATTATATAACAGAATATGCTAAAAGCTATTACCAGTCGGATCTGGTCGCACGAGGTCTAGTCGCGATCACTGATTGAAAGGGCCGATTGGGAATCATCATTGCAGCTGCTGTCACGGCCCTCCCAAAGTGCATCTCCCAGAGTGCAAGGGAGCGCTTTTAAATAGCCAATTTTCTTGAAGCTCTTTTCTACACTGGTAGGAGAAACTAGGTCCCACGACCGGATGACCTAAGCGTTAGCACATAATTGAAAAGGCCTTCTTCAGTGGCAGGAAACAGATACAGGTAAACCTGGATATAATGAAATTGACCAATCCTCAGAAAAATTCGTTATATCAAGGATGTCTCTCTCTGCTACTTTGTTGGCAAACTTTACAACAGCGAGCTTGAATTTCGTCGTATGTATAATTATTCAAGCCCATCACAAGGGAACAGTAAAAACATGGACAGATAGTGAAACCTAAACTTCTGAAATTAATGAAGCGTGCATTTCAGCGCTGACGCAGAGGTTGAGGGGAACAGCGTGACAGGGCGACAGGCCCTTACGAGAGCCCTCACACGTCACTGATGCAGAAAGCTGTCCCTGCTGTGATGTGAGCGTGCATTCTCATGGTGATTGAGATGGAGGGATAGAGGGCGGCGGACGCTTGAGCAGTTGCGGTGAACCAACAGTCTTGAGTGTACAGGTACGGTATTCTAGGTTCAGGCTAAGTCCTCAGAAGGAGGGACATCGCACTCATAGCCCATTTGGCTGCGCTCGCCTGCGAGGCGAAGCACCCAAGCAACTGTCTAAAGCATTCGAAAGGCAAAAGTGTCTTCGTGCACGCACCGGTGAACTGGGTCATGCAGGTCACAGAGCTCAAAACATGCGAGTAAAAAAAAATATATATATGTTGTTTTAGTAAAGCTGGCAAAATATTCGGGGTGTGCAAATTATGCGACTGAATATGGCATTTAATCGTTCTGGAAGTACTGTTGAATTTGATGTTAAGCCCAAACTGAAACAGTACTAATTCATTTCTCGTGGCTTGCTCATTTAATTCAGGACAACTTGAGCTATTCTACTCTCAAACCTCGATATAACTAATCGAGATATAACGAAATATCAGTTGTAACAAAGTAAATAAATAATATTCTCGCAATAGATTTAGTGCCAAGAATAAACTTTTAACGAATTTTTAGATACAACAAACTTATTTTCATGTAAGATGCAAGTTTGTTATTATGAGGTTCGAGTGCAGTTCATGCCGGGTCTTGTTAGCTTTATGGGTTTCTTTGAAATGAGTGTGTTGTACAAAAGGAACCTCTCTTGAAACCAGTAATTAAAAAGCAGGCATTTACAGTACTTTAAAAAAAATCTAAAATGTTTATACAGTAAAATCTCACTAAGCGGAACCTGAAGGGACCAGGAAAATGTTTCGTTTAACAGGACTTTCGTTTACTGAGAGATGAGCAGGGGTGCAGAATTCAGGTACGAAACTAATTTTGCTAAGGGCAGATGGTCCGTTTAAACAAAAGTTTTGTTTAACAGAGTTCAATTGACTGAGAGTGCACTGTAGTCAACATTAGCTACCCTTGATGTTACAATATCAGGCTGTCTGAAAAATAGGCAGATTTTTTTTTTTTTGCCGTTTCGCGAATTTCTTGTCACTTTGGTCTTTAGAGAAAAGATCTTTCAGTGCTTGCACTTCTTGTGTGCACTTGTCGCAGTTTGTTTTTATATTGAAAGTCCTCTGTGGCACGAAAGCTTTTACTGATGAAGCACAGTGATAAGGATGTTGAGGTCATCCTGAAAAGCTGGTGTCTGCTGAGGGTAATTTAGTTGGTAAACATGTCACGTTGGGGCACATATTGTGTTACCAATACATAAAGAGAAAATATATACCTAGGGTTGCAGCAGGATGCATTGACTTTTTTTTTGAATATGGCAAACCTCTAGATGCTTCTTCCTAACGACCTGTCATGCTTTTGGCAGGATATGCCTTTCTGTAGGAGTGTACTTCAGTGCTCAATGCTTTTCTTTTGCATAATAGTCTATCAGGCTCTCTTACTGGCTAGTTATCTTTGCAAATAATAATCTATCTTGAGCCTTATAGTTTTCTCATTGGATAGGCTTCAGCGCAATTTAGAGGAAAACAAAAGGAGACACACAGAACACAGACGAGCGCTCGTCTGTGTTCTGTGTGTCTCCTTTTGTCTTCGTCTAAATTGTGCTGAAGCCTATCCAATTATGCACCAACTCGCCCAAGTCAAAGTGCTTTTAGAACACATTTCTCATCATGCCGCGGTAGCTATGCGTTCAAGCAGAGTGTTTTAAAATTTTTGGTACAAATCACCTTTAATATGTTGTCTGGTAAACACACTGTTTTCAAGGTTGCAAATGCGAAGAATAAAAGCTACAAAGAGGCTTTTATGTTTCTTTTTGTTTTGTTCGCCAATGTTGTAGGCACCATGTGCAAAAGCTCTGATGTCACATGTTATTACTGTGCTGATTATCATGAACAGAGGCTGATGAACTTTGTTATTACTGTGCTGATTATCATGAACGGGGGCTGATGAACTTTGTGATCTCTAGTTTCTGGCAGTTGCGTGCACTGGGCCGGTATTAGTTGTGGCACATAAATTGAAGCTGCACTGTATGTAATGTTAGAACTTCTAGATCCAAGTTTAGGAAATTTCTGGAAATAGGTTTCATTTCAACAATTTCTACCAAAATGATGTAAAGTTTCTATTAAAAGTCTGGTTTTAACACTTCAGATATTTGTACAAGTGGTGGGTCAAGAGTTGCCATTCTGCAGTACACTACAAGAATATAGAAAATAAGAGAAACTCTGTACACAGGCGAGACGGTGTATATGCCAATATGTAGTAATTTCTTATTTAGAGAACATTCAGTGGAATTTCAACTTATCTCTTCAATTTACTAGAATTTCCGGGATCAGACTTGCGTAAAAGCTACTGATTCTCTCTTCAGGTTCATCCTGTCACTGTAGCATTCTATTGCATGTAGCAGAATCGATATGTCTAAGAACTTGAATGGAATAGCGAAGTTGTGCGATAAACCAATTTGTGTTCACAAAGTTTTTGAAACTTACCAGTCTCATTTTTTAAAGTGGATAAATTTTTGCAGCCTGTTATTGTGGTGCACAATGCTCATTTGGAAATTTTTGTACTTCTGTTATAAGCTACTGTTTATAAAAAACAAAGGCATCGTGTGCTGCAGTCTTGTCATATGAGAAATGTTGACTTTGACGTTGTTGGGGAATGATTGCCAATTGTTTATATATAACGAACACATATATAACAAAGAAACAAATAAAAATAGGTTGGTCATGTTTTATTGCAATGATGTTTCAAGATATTTTCTACTGCCACAGCACATAAAGACGCTTCGGCTCGCTTTGTCGACTCTGACACGGCACAGAAAGAACACTCGAGGCATGTGGTAGAAGCACGTGTTTTAAACCCTTTGTAGGTTCGCCTGTATTGCTGGCACGATTTTGTAAATATTGGCTATACTGTCGAACCCCGCTACAACGAAATTGAAGGGGCGCGGAAAAAATTTCATTAAAGCGACAAAATATAGCCGACCTGAACCAGCAAAACAAAGAAACTATTCTCAAAATTCAAAAAGTGTCCGCTGCTTTTTATTCTATGCCAGCAGCGTCACGACGGGATTTTCACTTATGCTTATCGAGGTCATGGTGAAAAGCATGCTGAAACAGGGACTATAACCGCTTTCGTGAACGAACCAGACAGTTGCATTAACACGTTCACACCAGCAGCTGTCCGCCGTCAAAACGCCGAGATGGCAGCAGGGTATCGTGAAGCGGTGAGTTTTGCCTTATTTTATGCCATTCTTATCATCCATCACTCGCGGCTAGCTGATTTTGTTGATAATGCGGACGAACAGCTGCTCCGATTAGTTACCACACTCACCAAGCGCGAACAAAATGATAAGCATTTGTATCGGAAAAGGAATCGTTCCGCAGATGCACCCAGCAGCTGCGCGAAAAAAATCATGAACTAAGCAACTGAGCTTCAGCTTCGATTCGTCTGGAGCTATACAGTAAATCCAATTTTTAACATTTTGATGCATTTTCAGAAACTGAAAATATGTCGACGAAGTTTGAAATACGGGGTGGCACCACCAGAAACCACCGCTGTTCAGCAAGCGTGGGCGCCGCCATTCCTCGATAGCGATGGCAAGGAGGCTACCCTCTTTTTGGCAAAGTAGGGCAGCCTCATGGCCATTGCTATCGACGCCTATGCTTGCCTAACAGCGAGGAGCACTGACGTCAACTTTACTCATGCCAAGATTTTTGCGTCAGCGAGTAGCTATAGACCTCGTAGCAGCGATTCGCGATGTAAAACGCAACTGAGGGATGAATAACTATCACTTTTATTGGTTTATATCACTCTTATCTAGCGCTATTCAAAACGGCCGGTAATCCCGCCATTTTTAGTGCTGGGAGCACCAGCAGTAGCGCTACCTCGCGGTCACCTCCAGATCACGCCACAGCTGACCACTTCTCCACAGAAAAGAGTGACGTCGGGTTCAGCTGCTCCGCAAACATTTCGTCTGCTAGGCGGGCACATTGTCGTGCCTTGTCACCTGTATTGCTGTCGTCGCCCTACAAAGTGTCTGCTCAGGTTTAATACAATAGTCTGGAGCTTGGAGTCCCCGCGATTCACGATGTCGTTTTTTGCTTCGATCGACCTTTTGCAGAACAGCGATTCCGAAATAGACGCCGTTCCAAGCAGCACTGCAGAGGTGCCCGAGGATGCACGCTTTAGCCATGTTCGCTCGTGTGTCTCAGTTAGCTATATTGGTGTGTTTTGGCCTGAAAAGCATTCAGGTATATACAGAGGGGTCAATGCAATATAGCTATCGCGAATGAGCATCAGCGGAGAAATAGAATACATTTCCTGCTAGCCAGGTTCCTTTTTTGCACCTCAAGATGGCCCCACCTATCCAGCCACTCGCGATTAAACACGGTATTACCACTTTTACGTGGTTGCAAAGTCTACAGATGAACTAAAATTCAACGATACCTGCGTGTTACTTGTTAGCGATGATATCTGACTATACGCTATTTCACTTTTCATAGCTTGTGGTAGTGTTGATGTGTAATACATACGTACGTGATATGAAAACACACCCTCAATGCGCGTTTACATGCTTCAAACTAGACGACTGCAACTCGCAACGATTCCTAGACATGCTGCCCGACAAGCACACATTTACTCATGCTTTTCTTTCACCGTTCTTTTAAAGGTGGGTTTTATCTTTATAATTTCATGAAATCATTCAAATTGTAGCGATGAAAATCAGACGCGACGAGCGAGTGGGTTTCTGTGCTTCTGCGCCACAATAAGAACACTCTGATCGTACACGTCATCACTACTAGGGCATCGTCACTCAGAATGGTATTTGTGGAATGTATCACACCAAACACGTAGCACTAGTGTCGATGTCGCAGGGCAGTCTATTTTTCGTTTTTTTCTCCTTAGCTTTTCTACGCTGTTTGACATTGAATTAAAATAACTTCCATGCCACAGATGCCGTTCAAATTTGGCCAAGAAGACCTATGCATACCAAGCGATGGAATGATGAGCACATCTCGATCTTGAAATATGATGTCATTGCTCCTTTAACAGTGGTGGTTTCTGGTGGTGTCAACGCATGTTTTAGACTTTGTCGACGTATTTTCAGGTTCTGAAAATGCATCAAAATGTTAAATCTTCGGTTTACTGTATAGCAATAAATATCTGAGCCTGGAATCACATTGTGAAATTTTGTTGAAACGAGATGGAAGAAGAAAAAGTGTTCGTTGTGGCGACAATATTTATGCATTGACTCCTAAAGACTGCTCACGGGGAACCGGGAATTTTTTATTGTAGCGGGAATTTCGTTAAAGCGGCGTTCGTTGTAGCGGAGTTCATGTACTATCATACTAGTATGCTACTAGGATGCGGCTTTAATGGCTGTGACTCCATTTATTCAACAACTTACTTATCAATCATATAGCTCGTTAAGCAGCTCTGTTTTCTCTTTTAGCTTGACGCTCAGGCTATTTTGGTGAAATTTAGAAATGACAGATTAATTTGATATTGCACTGTTTATAAACTGCTGCTTTGGCAACGGTTACATCATTGTGCTTATATCATGTGGTGCTCAACTTTACCGGTTTGATGTAATTTCTGCCACAAGTAGTGCTACCTTAAATATATAGCATATTTCACAGCGCATTCAATAACCAATTATTTATTCATTATTATAAAATATATTTTGCAATAGATTTATTTGTGAAATACTTAAGCACTGCTTTTAGCTTTATGGCACCTTTTGCCATCTACTCCTAAAACACAAATAGCTGCACCAAACTAGCATTGTTCCTCTACTCTGTAACACTTGTGGCTACTACAAAGCAGTACTTTTTACTGCTCTGAAAACTGCTTCAGAAGTAAAAAGTCGATTTTATGATTCTATCACTGCTGCATGGGCTTCTGCAGGGGTGTGAAAAGACTTGCTTTCTTCTCACAAGCCACACCAGCACTTGGTTTGTCCAAGCTGCACCAGCGCTCTTTCCCTCCCCGAGCCATGGTGCAACACGGGGTTGCACTCTTCCCCCCACAAAGGCGAAATCAGCCGATACTCGTGCATCACCTGTTATTTTGATTGAAGCGACCATTCCAGGTGGTGCAGAGAATTCAAGTAGTGCAGGAAAACATTGCGCTTCTTATTTCAAGTGGCACACACCTTTTCAGGTACACCTTGCGTAAGCTTTGCAAGGCGGTGGTGTGCTCTTCCGAATTTCACTTCACCGTATACACAAACCATTCACGTTTTTTTTAGATCTTATCGTTCCTGTTTGTGCTGTAGAAATGGTCTAGTACTGATTATTTTATTATTCAGGGGGCATATGATATCAAGCAAATTATTCCCATGCACCCTTTAACAAAAAGGGTGAAAAGGATTGTGTTGCAATGCATATAAATACTGATTGAATTATTGCACAAATACAAAATAACATGATTTGGAGCTGGAATCTACTTGAAAACCGAAAATAAGCGATTACCTCGCAAATTGAGTGTTTTTCATGTGAAGGAGAGGTGAATTGAGGATGTTCCGAAAAAATGGAAGGAGTTTGCAGGGGCGAATCTAGCCACTCATTTCAGGGGGGGGGGGGGGGGGGGGCGTCACCTAAACTAACACTGGAGAGGGGGCGGGGTCATTACTTTTGTTTTTACTAGCAGAAAAAAACCCGTCATCGCTCAAATACTGTTAATGTTTTCACTGGTTTCACTAATTTTTCCTGATTGGTGATAGGAGGTGGACTACGAGCACTGAATTGAAGGGGAAAGGCGCTGGCAGATTTTTTTTTTTTTTTTGGGGGGGGGGGGGGAGGTGATCGCCCCTATCGCCTCCCTCTGCATCTGCCAATGTTTCAATGGCATTATGGTATTGCCGCCAGCTTCCGAAACGGCGGAGAAACAATTTTTCTCGAGCTTACATAGATAGCAGCAACTTAATCATATGGTGGTTTTGGAACGTTAAACCCCAAATATCAATCGATGAGCTTAGCGTCGGGCTAATTGTGACAGCTGATGCGATATGCGAATTCAGTAGAGGGAACATGGAACATGTGTGTCCCGCTGACGCTCAAAGGTTAGCGCAAGTTGTAGCACAGTGTGACAATCCCAGGATTACGGGCCGTAAACGGTAGCTTCACAGGACTGATGAACTCGAGAGAACACTTGCCGGTGGCGCTATGTCTACACACAACAGGTGCAGCTGAGCACACGGACCAGAACCCGCCTGCTAAAGGCCTAGTCACACGTAGTACTCATTGCAACGAGTCGGCACGTGGCTTATTGACGGGGTGCCTTGCAGTCTCCCTACAGAGAGCGAGGGCGCGAGCCGCATAGTAAAGCCACGCGCTGACACGCTGCAACGCGTACGTGTGATCAGAACACTGCGCGTATTGCAGGCCTAAGGGCTCGTTCACACTTGGCCTCGAATGGAGCGAAAGCGGCAAAACTCACCAGAAATGCGCTTCGCCGCCTAAGCGGCCGGAAAACGACGCCGCGAGGCCGGAACGAAAAAAATCTGTTTGAGACTGATCTACTCGCCACGCTAAAGCGCATCCTCTGTTCGCTTCACGGCTTTGGCTGCACTACCTCAATCCACGTGATATAAAATGCCGGCTGCAAATTCAACATGGTCGCAGAGGCGTCGATGGTGGCTCGCATCGGCTCAAATGGCCGACTACCCGCGCAGCACGACGAAGCTTCAGGCCTCGACGAGGCTGCGTTCATCGAGAGCCTGGTTTGGATTCCGAT